AATGCCAGTCACAATGGAGACTGTAATTGCCATGTCTTGCATGTGATGTCTTTCTTCTTCTTCGTTCTTAATTATTAGTGTTGAAGGGGATAGAGATTTATCTGCCAGTGGGTTTGAACTCGAGACTTTGCTCGAATTTATCAACCATGAGCTTTTTGCCGACTCGACCACGCCTCCAACACAATTAAGCGTTACGTGTCAACTGGTTATGCGCCATTGAGGCCATTGACTCCGATTTCAGCCTGCTTTTCTTTTTGGATTTGCTTCCATAGCCTTTGTCCAACCAAGAACAAACTACAAGGCAGCAGTTGTTTAATTTTGGAGTTGTCTCTCCTAGAAGAGTGGCTGTCCCCAGCTAACGAGCCTCATCTGCCCGAGGGTTCGAACTTGAGACTTTTCGGTTTAGCAACCATGAGCTTTACCGACTCGACCACGCCGACCCCATGTGATGTGATTAGCCAAAGCCAATGAAAACTGTGATTGCTATGTATTGAACCAATGCCAGACACAATGGAAACTGTAATAACCATGTCATGCATGTGATGTGATTAGCCACTACAAATGATGTTTGTCTGCTATTGAACCAATGCCAGACACAAAGGAAACTGTGATTGCCATGTCTTGCATGTGATGTGATTAGCCACTATCAATGATGTTTGTCTGCTATTGAACCACCAATGCCAGACACAATGAAAACTGTGATTGCCATCACCTACACTTACAGCGCAACACAGTACACAATTAGAGATTCACAGAGCATTACTAATCACAATCTTGGCCTATTGCAGTGCTTCTTAACCTGGGTTCTATCTATCAAACCTGTTTATGTGACCTGGGCAAATGAAGGGATAGTGTGGTCAGCACTATGCCAACAGCCTTTCCGTAATGTGATTTTGGTACATGTCAGAGCCGGGTGGACACAAGGACGTTCTACTGACTTGAACCTGGATTCGAACTCAAGAATTTTGGGTTCGGGTTAAGACTCTCTACCACTAGGCCACGCTGTCAATTTGTAAGTTAAGCAAGTATAAATGTAACAGTCTTGGGTTTGTTAACTATATGATGACAAAAAGATAGAACATATTGGGTGTTCTTTGTGTGTGTGTACATGACAAAACATTATCTCTGGACAGGGGCGGGGGAGGGGGGGATGACGGGGGACTGATAAAAAAATAAGATGGATCAAATACATGCACATGGCTACCAGCAAAAGTGGAATGAACTTTCTGTGGTGGACTCAGGTGACTTGGGCACAAAAAGGAAAAAATCATGATGAATTTCATGGCTGAGCCAACAGAGTCAAAAGCAGATTGGGGTTGTAAGGGTTAAGATTACAATAAAGCAGAGCACATCCCCTATGTACTGCATTTTACAAATAGTATTTTAAAATATGAACACTTGATAATTAAGCTACACACAATTTATCTCTTGACACAGTGTTAAATAATACTGGAAATCATCAGATCTACCTAACATTTTTCTGACACAGGATGTCTATAAAATCAGAGTAATTTAACCTGTGGAGCTTAAGTTTCATAATTCAATGGCTTATGTTTAGCCTATCCTTTGTCCATTATGTAATAGAGGGATATGATCCAAACAATGGTGACTATGTCTTATTTTATAGGTGTGTTTTTCATATGAATACCAAGAGGTCCTTACTGGGCTTACAGCTATTCAGGTAAATCTTATTACTTAAATTTCTATCAAGAAATGAATATATGACCATCTTTTCTAATTCCATACTACATAAGTTTGTGAATGTTTTCTAATTGAAAAGTGTTTTTTTTTTTTAAGTTTCATCATTAAAAGTAAACCACCTTCTCAATGTTGAATCCTAAGAGCCAATGGTGTGTTTTTCACTTTCCCAAATCCTAAAAAAATCTCATACACAAATCCTGACCATCATTACTCCTAGACAGATAATTGGCCAGAAAAACAAGATCACAAAATAAAAAATTATTTATAATTTTTGGAAAAGAAGCCCTTAGACTGCATGGCCATCAGACAAACTGATTCCATTACGCATAGGTACAATAAAAAACAAATAAAATACAATTAAATTAGATTTAATCCTCTACTAGATATGTTGACAATCCTAGCACTGTTATAGGTATTAGTTATAAGTGCTAGTAGTACTGGGCCCTACTAGTGCTAACAATGTTGGTTATTTAATTAAGAACAGTAATCTAGTTAACAGTTGCTTGTAACCAATTCTCAGATCTAGTTATGACACTTTCACAAACAGAACTAGGTCAAAATAAAAATGTTTGACAAGTGTCCCTAAATTTTAGATCACTAGATTATTGCACACTATTGAGGTGATGAAAACAACTTGTTTCTTGATGAAGAAAATATTATTTTTGCGGAAGAGGATGTCGATAAAGCAAGTGTGGAAATAGTTATCAAACAACCTGTTTTATTCCCCGCTCCAACACAGATTGTCACCACTATGATAGTGCCTACATCTTATTCTGGTTAATCTGTCTTGCACACATTGTACACATCATCAAACTCAACTTCTTTAGTGACATAAACAGAGGAATCTTACATGCATCTTTACCATCAATAGAATTAGTTATGCCCAAAACACAACCAACCAAACATCCTCATGAGATTGAAATACAGACAGGTGCAAGATATTGATTTTGATATCAGGGGGGGGGGGGGGGGGGGGGTTCAGAAAGGACAATTTAAAAATTAAACTTATTGACTAAGATTATGGTAAAATAATAGATGTTGATCAAAATGAAGAGGACAATCTATATATATAATTCTCTACTGAGAGACGCTAGAAAACAAGCAGTAAGTGTGCTCCCTAACACCCCCACCCCTACATGGTCTGGTGAGCTGTGGTTCACGCTAAATGTTTACATTCATGGAGCCGGGTTTAGTGACGGCTATTAGGGGCAGATAATTTAGTTTGAAGCGATTTTAAACGTAGGGGGGAGGGGGGGGGGGGGTTAACTAAGTGGAGTTTACTTTAACGGAGGGGAAGGAGGGGGGGGGGGGGGGGTTATCGTCCATAACAAGCTACTTATAGTGTTTTAAAGAAATATTTTCAGTGGCAGCGTTGGTACTGTCGAATTCACAAATTATGAATTACCGAAAAGTAGAAAAAACAACTAAATAGCTGTGTATGATATGATGCGGGTCGGCTCGTGTGTTTATAAAAACATAAAAAATCATTGTGATTTTGATAACTGGGTAGTTCTTGTCAATCAAAGTGAACTGCAGAGATACTCAGTCAAACTGATCTGCAAGCAATCTGGGCATTTTTGGGAAAGCATTTTGCAATATCATGTGCTTCTAACCTTGGTAGACTACTGGTCCAATGAACTTATTCTCCAGGTGTCATGTCTAGCTAGTGTCAAGCCAAGAAAAAGATTTAAAGAGAAAATTGCATTTATACGTAAATGAGACAAGAATTCAATACTCCGTACAATTAAATAACTAGCTTGAATATAGACGAATGATAGTAAGAGCTTTCAATTAAGGATTACATGAAAGAAATATCTCCTCAAGATCTATTTGTAGCAGCTAGAAGTAACTTCAATCATAACACCTGATCACAAATCGATAAATCAAAAGGAGAAAAACCTAGGAGTTTAATAGAAATGATTGAGAATTGGACAGACAATATATTTTTGATAAATTCTCCTCTGGCCCTAAAAGACTTGTTTGTCCCATGTCTCAAAAACTATTAAAGATACTGGCCCTAAAAGACTTGTTTGTCCCATGTCTCAAAAACTATTAAAGATACTGGCTCTATATTAACATTTTAAAAATCTACTGATCATTTTACGACTAAATGAAATGTGTGCACAGATATTTAAAATTATGTCAACAATTGTGATGGTCCTGAAAGGTAAGGGTTAAAGGCAGCTGTCAAACATTTAATAGTAAGCCTAGTGTAGAGCTTACGTCTGCTAACCCAAAAGTCTAAAGTTTGAATCCGGGGTCTAGTCTGTAAGTAGACATCTCTGAGTGAGTCCACTCAGCTATGATGGATGCCTGATTCACATCAGGGAATTAAAGCTAGGTGGGCATAATGCTGACCACACTATCTCCCTGTATGCAGAGATCATTGAAACAGATGCACTCTACAGGTCTTGGAAAAATGCAAGACGCAAAATGCATTAGCGAGGCGGTAAAATGCAAGACTTTTTTTCATTGTTATTATATTATTAATCTTGAAAGGCGAGTGAAAAAAAAAGGTTTGGACAAGATTAAGGCGGTAAACAAAGTAGACACAATAAAAAAAGGGTGTTCAATCATGGACACAATTAAAAATACGTTGTTTTATCATCAACTTATTTCATGTGCTGCAAAAATTGACCCATCAGTTTCACTGTGGACTCAAAATACTTTAGCCGTAGTTGCTACATTATATTATAATATACAATTTTCGGGTGTTTAAAAATTAAACTCTATAGTATAAAGTCTGCATCAAAGTTCATGTAACTCATCAGAATGTTGGAATTCAGGTGCTGTGAAATGTTTGAATATATCATCATAAGTTACTCCCACTACTTGACTATGCTGTTCACCGACCAACCAGGTGGGGGTAAAATATGAGACAAAAAAAGTCAAGTAACCACTTAACCAGCCTTTTTTTTTCACTTTTCTTTCAGTTTTACTAGACTCTAGATCTATCTCGCAATTTAATTTTTGCCGGGTGTCTGCCGTTAAGCATTTTACCAAGATAAAATGATGATTTTGCCAGTTTTTTTTACTAAGCCCCAAACTCTACTCACTACTGAATGAGTCTTTTTGAATTTTCTGCTAGACTGAATGTTCTCGGATCTATATCTACAGATCTAGAAACCAATTATTTTAAATTAAATGTTCGTTTTGATCTTCTTTGAGCCTACATCAGTGGATCTAGATCTAGATTATATTTTTAAATTAATTATTAAACTAAAAAAAAATTATATGGTGTGTTTGATGTTTTGCCGACTATTTTTTTTTAATGAAAAGCGACGTAAAATAAAACCTACCTTTAAAAAAACGTAAGGCGATCTTGTATACTTCCTCCAAGGGAAAGCCCCATTTTAATTTGTACTGATCATCGAGATTCAAGCTGGTCTTATTGTCGTTTTTATCATGTGTGATGTTTATATTTTCTACACCGTTTACAATGTTTTCGACTGAGGCGGCCGCCATCTTGTTTACCGTATTCCACGTAAATCCGAGATTCTCGTTCACTTGACGTCAAATAATACAATTAGATATTCGTTTTTTTAAATAGCGAATTTGCTGTGTCAGCTTACTTTAGCAATATTTTATTAATTAAAGCTTATTGTAATAATCGACAGATGCCTAATTGTATATCCTTCTCCTGTAAACGGCAACTAAGCGTATGTATAATGTTATGTAAGCAAGTGAGTGTGGGAAATAAACAGTTTGAAGCAGTAAAAAGACTACACAAGGACCAATAGGCTTAATATGTAATCTATTCTTAACAGTATAACAGATGCTGTAATACCGTATAGACCTAGACACAAACTTTTATTATTACAAAAACACGAGAAATGCGTTACCTTTTTAGCCTTCAACACTTCCAAATTCCAAGTAGGCCTACCTCACCCTCATTCCCCAACGTACTAGCGAGACTCCACCTCTTATTAAAGGTGACAAAATTGCAACTAATTTGCTTTTAAGTTTTCTGCCGCACCATAAATAATTCTACAGAGGCTCGTGAAAACCTAGTAATAAAATTACAGTAACGGCATTGTTGCGCAATGACGATAATGAATGTTTTTAAAAATCCAATAAAAGGAAACATAATAGGCTAAGGCAACAGAAAAAAAAAAATTTAATGGTCTGAAATATCGTCTGCTATGATTGCTTCCGCTTTTGTCCTTGGAAATCAAAGCGATTTTCTCCCATTTCTAAACCTATCTGAAAACATTTTATTAGGTTCAATGAATATTTATTGATACATTAAAAAACGAGAGGGGAAAAGGGAGGGGGGGAGTAAGGATTCATTTGATGTAATCCCCTAAAAAAAATGGCGACAATCGATGATTCCCAGTCTTGAAATGTTGAAATCTGTGCAGCAATGGCTGTATTGTCGGAGGCGAGATTGCCATAGTATTACGACAGTTTGTCTGCAGACATTTGGTCTGCTTACTTTAGGTATATCACAACGTTTGGTCTACCGTCATAGGCCTAATTAATAGGGGTCGTTCATAAATCACGCCAAATTCCTAGGGAGGAGAGGCTTGTAATTTTAGGATGGTGATGAGGGGGGTCAGGTAGGGTGACATCACAATGTGATCAGAGTTTCTTCCAGGTATCTCTTCGGGGGGGGGGGGGCGGAGCCTCCCCCGAAGAAAGTCCACCGCCCCCCCCCCCCCCCCCCCGAACGAAATGGAATTTATATATAGAAAATATATAAATTTAACAGTGTCCGCCCCCCCCCCCCCCGAAGAAAGTCTACCCCCCCCCCCCCCCCCCGAAAATTGTAAATGCCCCCCCCCCCCCCCGGAGAAAAAAGTCTGGAAGAAACACTGAATGTGATGTAAGAGGTACGGTTATTTTTGTTACACTTGTCTGATAATGTTACAACAATAAAATCTTCAAAAATATCTAGGGTTCGTCACCCCCACCCATTAACCAAAACCCCCCCTACGCCACCAAGTACTTTTGTCCTTGTTTACTGTTTTGATCACCCACCCACTCTGCCCAGCGTACCAACCGTGTCACCGTTAACAACGTGTTACCGTGTCCGTGTGTTTGTTGACAACCCCAGACCATCACGTGAGCCGTGAGTAGATCTCCTCGCCTGCTACGGTAGCTACACACCTGTAGGTGTCCATTCCATTCGTGTTGACTGCGTTGTACTGATCAAATCGTTGTGTCCACCAGACGACCAAATTTAAAAAAAAAAAAGATTGTTCATCAGTTGTCAAATATTTCAATAACCTTTGACGGTGAGTTTTGTATGTCCATTGTTCATTCTATTTATTGTTGAGCTAGGCAGACTTTTGAAACAGTTGGAATAGAGGCTAGGAGTCTCGAATACAGCAACCAATCAGATTTATACTACTTTATAGATGAGATAACGTTGACGGGGGACCACAACTGATGTGCAGTCTCGAATAAGACATTCACTAAATCTATTTAATGTCCACTAACAATCAGATATTTGTTATTAATCTTCTATCAGTGTCCAATAATGTCACATTGATTCATTGAAAACTTGTGTAAGATATTCGGTACCTAGTAGTAAAACAAACTTTAACTAACCTAAATGTAATTTAAAACCACTTCTAACCCTAACACAATCCCGGGTATGCGTTATGCCGGTGTTAATTACTGGTAAACATTTCTAAAAACAAATATTTGGCCTACTTGCTAATGTTAACGCAAACCCTAGGTCTAACCAAAGTCATGAGGATTGGATATACCGATATGCGATAGACGACTTCTGAAAATAGTGTTAGGTTTTTAGTATTGTAACATCGTCTAGGTTTAGCATTATGGTTAGAAATTACGGTTAGGCGTATGGTAGGACTAGGGTTGCAGTTAGGGACAGGGTTAGCATTGACATTAGCAAGACATGTGTATTTTAGTTAACTACAAGTAACTTTACACCCATTTCTTAAAGATTCTATTACTATGCCACTATTGGATACTGGTACAAGAAATCCACCCCTAGTCTTACCATTCCTGACCTAACACTAAAACAAAGATCAGCGTCGTCGGTCACCCGTGCTACCAATGGTGTCACCCCCCCCCCCACCCAAGACAAATTATTCGTGTATATATTTTGCAACGTTTACCTAGGGACACCCCCCCCTACCTAGCTGATAGTTTTAAACTGCAAAATTAATAGGAACAAATGTTCATCGGTAGTCTGTTGTTAGAACTGGAAGTTGCATTTTCTCTTTAGTTTTTTTTTTTTTGCTGGATTTATTTACCAGTGTCCTATGATAGAATTTTCTTTAAAAAAGGGTTTTAGTTTATGATAAAAACATACATGCCTTGCCAATGCTAACCCCAAGCCTATTTCTACCATACTCCTAACCCTAATTTCTAACCATGAAACTAGTCATAACAATACTACTAAAAACCTAACACCCCTAAATTCGGAAGGGTATTATAGGACATTGGTATCTTCAATTACCCAGGTTTTTTTCCCGCCTGGATGTCGCCCCCTAAATGCCCCCCCCCCTTTTAGTGACGCCGCTGCCTGAGATTAGAACACTTAACACCAGTGGCGTAGCGACCCTTCCCGGCGCCAGGGGACAAACTTTTCGATTTGCACCCCCCCCCCCCCTCGAGATTTCCATTTGCACCCCCCCCCCTCAAACTTTCGATTTGCATCCCCCCTCAAACTTTCGATTTGCATCCCCCCTCAAACTTTCGATTTGCACCCCCCTCAAACTTTCGATTTGCACCCCCCCTCAAACTTTCGATTTCCAACCCCCTCAAACTTTCAATTTCTTTTTCCAACCCATTTTGGCCCCCTTAGGTCGGCGCCCGGGGACATTTGTCCCCCCCCGCCCCCCCCCCCCCCCCCTCGCTACGCTACTGCTTAACACCAAACCCAATTGTCGGAAGGGTCTTGTTGGATATAGACATCTCCCACAGACAATACTTCCTTTCAAATTAATTTATTATCATTTGCATACACGTTATAAGTAGACATCAAAAGCAAGTTGTACTTGCCTCCTTCGTCCCAAAAGTTTGTACTCATTCTTTCAATTCCAGTTTGCAAGCGTAATTTTTTATTGAAATTGTTGCAAAGTCCACGAGTCTACTTCTTTATACTTTACGACATAGCCCCCCCCCCCCCCTTAGAAAATTTTAAGTGCTCCCCCCCCCTACTCCCGAGAAAAAGTCTGGAAAAACACCGGAAAAAGTTCTTGTAGTGTTGGGCTTTCTGCAGTTCTCCCAAGGTGAGTTCCAATACGGAACTTTTAGGCTTGACGGTCTTTAGTTATAATTGTAAAATGTCTATATTGTGTGATTATGTAACGATTTTTTGTTTTTTGAAAATAAAGGTTATAATGTTATAGATTCCAGCCTAAAATTGTTATATATGAATCCTTTAGGAGAGGGTGAAAAATATGAAAAGATAATTAGATGTTTAATTTAAGACTAAGACTGTATGTCTACTAACATTTAGTATCGCAATCTACGACTACTGATGTATTTATTTTTCAACTTGATAATGCTAAAAACCTACCAAACTATTTTGTTTAGAACGTAAGCTCTTTATAATTTTTATAATAGCAAATAATAACTTAAATTTGTATTTATGTGTAAGCGGTCAACCTAAGGTGCAGGAATTTGAAATAAATGTAAAGTTAAACAACGAATTACCTCCCATTTGAAAATACAAATAACAAAATTTTATTCAAGGGAAATAACTTTAACAAGAATTGCTAATTTAATCAAGTGTAACTAAGACATGTTTGAAAAACATAATAAAGCGCTCTACATTTTATTACGTAATAATTATAACAAATCTTTTATATAAGCAATGTAACCTTGTAAAAACAATATATTTTACCTGTTGAATACTTAACAGTAGGTTTTTTTGAAAGTCTAAAACCGGTAGCATTATTACAACATACTTCTATTCAATTTTGATAAACGTTCATTGATCTTCGCTTGGTCTGTTACTAAGAGGCATTCATAATTTTGGACTAAAAATCAATCAAATAAAAAATATATAATTTGAGAAATCAAAGTTTACTGTTATAAATCCCATCTTATATAATATTGTATATTAATATACTTTAAGAGTGGTAATATAAATTCATAAAAAAGAATGCCTACCTTTCTTTGTAGTGTGTTCCGTACTGAATTGAAATCAAACTTACGATAAACTCGACTACTCTTTATACTCTACTACATTTACAACGCATATCAAACTTCGATACCTAAACATAACTAGACTCGATGCTCCAGAACTACATCAACTCGTTTAACTTCACAAAGCTCTACAAACGGTACTCAATCAAAGATTTCACTGGACCTACTACACTTTAACAGTCAATATAATGCGATACCTTAATACCACAAGAATCAATACTCCCGAACTCCAGAACTACGATACTTCATCACTTTAAAAATTCGATACTTTATACCTACTGAACCATATCAGCAACAGCCTCCCGCCGCTACTCCCAAATCTAAACGATTCATCAAAACTTACCAAACAAGTAGGCTATAATACTTTGAAAACCCCGTTATTACAAAACTCTGTACACTAGGACAGATTTTTTAACTCAAAGTCAGAGAAAACGAGACTTACAAAGCCCTATTAAAATTAGATAACTGTTTGAAATTTTCGAAATTTAAATTACGAAGTAATTAAAAAGGCAAAATGACTGGTAAAAAGCGCCCCGACCTTTCCAAATTAGGGAGGTAGGGTTGCATTGACACCATCGCGAATAAATATAGGCCTATATAAACCTAATTTCGGGGTGAAGGTGCAAAATTGATAGTTCGTCCTGGGTGCCGAAATAGATCGCTACTCCTTTATAAAAGTTATTAGGGTAGGCCCTACTTTTTGATAATAGCGATTAAAAATTTTGCGCCCCCCCCCCCCCCGAAGGGATGGCGCCCTAGGCGACCGCCTTGTTAGCCTTATAGGTAGCGCCGGCCCTGCCTAAACCGTATTAGTACTGAGTCGGATTAATACAACTAATTGCATAGTGTTTCTTTCAGGCAGGGGGGGGGGCACTTGATATTTTGTGGGGGTTCAACATTTTCCGGGGGAGGGGCGGACACTAGTAAAAGTATGTTTGCTATACAAATTCCATCTACTTCGGGGGGGGGGGGGGGGGGGGGGGGAAGGGGGAAAGAAACTCTAGTTGCTTATTGTGCTCTGTAGTATTCCCAAAATATTCGTGTTTTAGACTTGTAAAAACCTCGCTCGCAACACTAAGAGGAACACTTTAAAATCAGAATTTCAATATTTGTTTTAATTTCATAGGTAAGATCTAGATTTAGAATCTGGATCTTCACGTTAAAAATTAGCGTGTAATTTTAAAAAGTGAAGTAAAGTTCCCATTTTCAAACCTGGCGGTCTATAGGCAAGTGAAGTAGAGTTCACTTGTTTCTGTGACCTCGGCATATGAAGAGATAGTGTGGTCAGCACTATGCCCAAGCCACTTTTCCTTTCCCAAAAGAGTTAAGTACCCATTAGAGTTGGGTTGACTCAGGGACGGTCTGCTGACTTTAACCCGGATTCGAACTCGAGACTTACGGGTTAGCAGTCCAGCTCGCTTGTGATTTTAGTGCTACAGTATACCCTGAATGCGAATACAACATTTATAGTGTTAAGATTATCGGGATTGCAATGTTAAGTATTAAACTGCTCCATTCGGTCGGTTTACACTAAAGGTCAGAGTTCTTTCAGTTTTTGGTGTTTAGTCTTGTTAAAAAAATCATTGGAGCAGTGTTGCTAATGTCCTAATGCATGCGATTGTAAAGTTGTTTTATTTTATTACAGTTGAAAGATGCCACAAGAACCCAAGGAGAAAATCAGCCAATCGTGGAGAAAAACACAGGCATGTTTTATTTTCGTTCTTGAGTTAATTCTTGCATGCAGCTAACACTAATACTTGTTTTGTAATTTGATCGCAAATTTGTACATGTCATGAATTATTTTGAATTTTTTAAAATAACAATCCATTTGTTTTTCATTTCAGAAGAGAAACAGCCTAGTGAAATCTGTGATTGAGCCAACTGGCCAAAAAGGCAACTCTGTTTCGTCCAGCTTAAAGATGGAAGCGCTGATTTACCCAAAAAATCTGGACAATGTTGTGTCTGACGCCAATGGAAATATTATCACACTACAGGAGTCAGGACCGTCAGACGCCAGTGTCTCAGGAACCAACTCAGACGTGGTCAAAGTGGTGCCGGATAATGGCGTCAGCACAAAGACCGCACCACCCACATCTCGAGGCTACGACAACAATAAAACAGCGCCATCAGCAGTGCAGCAGGCGAGATCAAGAAGTAGGTCGACTCTGAGAAGCAGCGGGTGCGACTCTCGAAATATCCCAGAATCCTCCAGCGGAAAGAAAATCCTGGCCAAAAGAAGCCAGTCTGTTCCGAGAATAGACTTCCGCCATAGAGAACCGCCCGCTGATAAGCGATGGAACTCCTCAAATAGATTCTACAGCCACAATAACATGGAGCAGGTCACCAAGAAACCAACACAGAAATCGTGGTCTCGCAGATTCTCTGGCAGTTTTGACGGGCATCAGATGCCAGCCGTCAATGCCAATCACTGGTCTAGATCTGGTGTGAGAACCACTGCTCCCCAGTCTTTTAACACTGATTGTTTTGCTCATGAAAGATTCAGGCACCGCGTGGATATGGCTTCAAAGCGTTATCAGTTTTATGAACAAAATGCAAACCCTGCTCAAAGAGGCAACCGTAGGTGGTCGACAGCGGGTTATGACGCTCAGCTCACAATGAAGAATACTCGTCAAAATGAAGCATTCGACCAGGGTAGACTGTCACATCCAGCTGACGCGTATCATCGGGCAGCGACTGACAGACTGTCCGGCAGTCACGTGACAGTCAGCCAGCCCCAGCAGTACAGCAACATCAAGACCACGCACAGCGACAACAGCAAGACCACAGCCAGCAAGAAGCGGAGTTCCAGCGACAACAGCGCACCCAGAGTTCTGAGCACCGGTGTTAAACACGTCAGGACACTGGCGAGCACACACCAGCTAAACACCGCAGCACGCCTACACACCTCACTGGAACACGCTGCCTCAGCTGTTGAGAACTCTGTCCCACCGGTGCAGTACCCTGCCCCTAACCAACATCAACCCACTACAGATGTGTTGCAGGAATTCCCAATAGACTTGTCTCGTTCTGCGATGATATCGGAACCAAGTAACACCAAGATGATTCCATCGTTGCCCAGTTCTGCAAACACTTCAGCTTCCCAGAACCCTGACAAAAATAGAACACCTGATGCCAACGTTCCTGGCTGTACCAATGATCTAGACATTAAATTACTAAAACGCCAATCAACAAACGACACAGTAAAGCTCATAACACGTCTGTCATCTGATGCTGGTGGTGTTACGCACCATGACACAAATCTATTTACAAAGAATGACATAAATTGCGCACCGAACCAAGCACCAGACGAACCAGTGCGCACCCGCACCACCGCTAGAACTCTCGACTTCTGCCCTCGTATCGATACCAGCGTCCCGCCGCCATCTCACCCTCAGCGAGCCAATCAAACGACGGTATCCAAACCACGTGTCACAACTCAACCAACCCACATGAACACCATCAGGCAGGATATCCAAGAAGAAATGGCCCGAGCACGGAGCATGTCCATCCCCGTGAACTTTAACCCGAACGCTCAAGACAACGACCAGTCTCGTCTGAACCCGTCGGCTGACGAGTTTTCCCCCACGCTCAAAGACGCCTACGGCAACAGTTACACGGTGTCCAGCAGCAAAGGGGTCTTCTACTTCCGACCCCAGGTTCAACTGGCTTCAAATCCCAACTATGTCGTGGCCACTGAACCTCAATACAGCGCTGCTCAGAGTATAGTGGGCCCTGTTTACAACAGCGGCGTTGTCAACATGCCGTACACCATGGGGGTGATCTCACAACAACCTGTGCCGTCGTATCCAACGAATGACCTGCAGAAACCTGCGTACTACCTGTACGACGAACACGGTCAACTAAGCGCGACTTTAATGACACCTGGACCACAGGTGACCACCCCATCGTACACGCCAATGCTCGCTCCATCGGTGGGCGCCGAGTCTTTAGTCTTCACATTTCCCCAGACCATCACCAGCCAGGATCAGGTGTATCAGTTCCCAGTGCAGCCTGTACTACCGCAGTTCTGTAGCACCAACTCTCAATACACAACACAAACCGGCGTTTCGAGCTTCGCTGGATACGAGCAGTCCTGCTTGACAACGCAAAACTTTTCATATGAGCCACACGTCATTCAGAACTCCGCCCTTTTACATAATACACAGCAGGATCAACATACGCCTATGATACAAATAGCGCATAACCTACCGATGCCTAATGCTAATTACGCCATTTCATTTCCTGATCAAAGCCTGCCGATTCCATTTCCTGAATCTTATCCGAAAAACATAGATACAGAAAATTCGCCAATAAACCAGTGGTCACTGCCAAGCCCACCAACCTCAAGCCCATCTCAAGAAAGCCCACCACAAGCCTCAAACTTCCACTCACGGTCAACACGCCCACAGAGTCAAACTACGCATGCGCAGGTTCCACAAACACCTCCTGGAGCCACTCAGAAAACAAGCGATGACGACAATGACGTGACCAAATCCGTGGCAAAGCGCCTCGTCCAGTTCTTTAAAACCGGAAGCATGGAGAAGCTCCGCAGTAATGGCGCCTCACCCGGCACCCTCCCGGCAGATTTGGACATTGTGGAGACCCTGATCGACCTGATCCGGGTGCTACAGAGCCGGAACCCGGGCCTGACGGACCGTGACCTCGTGGACATTGTGCACGTGCATCTTCAGATGTTTTACATGGGGGCTCAGAGTGGTTCGGAGGAAGAGAAGGGTGGCAGACGGCGATGTAATAAGTAGTGTAGTGTGTAGTACAGTGTCGGTACAGGTGATGTGTATGGGGGAATACAGTACTCACGCTGAGACTTTGATACGTGAGCTGTTCAATGGACAGTTAAATTATACCGGTTTTTATTTTGTGAATATGTACATATATTTTTATATTTGTATTTTAATATGTATTAAATAAATTTAAATAGTTTAAAGGTTTTAAATTTTATTTATTCCAAAAAAATAAACTAGCTATTATATTGACATTTTAAAGGGCATAAATGAATCAGGGTTAAAGTCATTAGAACGTCCCAGAGTCTACCCTTACTCACTGTGGTCAGCGCTAGACTTTCCCTGACTATCCCTTCAAATGCCTAGGTCACAGAATTTCCAGAAACAGGTTAATTCTATTTCACTTGCTCTAATAAATACAGAAGTTCTATTCCTGACCACATAATTATACTTAAAACGTTTCAAATAAACTATGGCCAGATAGTTGCTCCTGGTAGATGTATAAAGTTATGGGAAAGAAGCTTTGTATCATGTCTTCTCAAAATGTCGCCCCAACCTAAACTGGAACGGCCACTACTATACTATAAGTTACGTAAATTAAAAGCTAATCTAAATACAGATCTATATGGGTAAATATTTTCCTTAATCACGCGTTAAGATATATATGGATGACTCTTCTTCGTGCAGTAAAGTGTAAAAATTCTGAATAGTTTCAACTTTATTTTAGGACATTTGACTTCCTGATATTGTTTTACACTTAGACAAAATAAAATGTGTATAGGTCTTCATTTATCAATAAGCCATTAAACTGCACCAGTGGCGTAGCGAGGTCGGGTGTCACCCGGTGCGGCACTTAATGGTGTCACCCCCCAGAGGCGTAGCGACCCTTCCTGGGGACAAACTTTCAAATTTTCGATTTGCACCCTCCTCTCAAACTTTCGATTTGCAACCCCCCCCCCCTCAAGTTTTCGATTTGCACCCCCCCCCCCTCAAACTTTCGATTTGCACCCCCCCCCTCAAGTTTTCGATTTGCACCCCCCCCCCTTTCAAGTTTTTCTCTATATATTTTGCTATTTGTTGCCTTGGTGTCACCCCCCTAAATGGTGTCACCCGGTGCGGTCCACACCCCCCGCCCCCCCCCCCCTCGCTTCGCCCCTGAACTGCACCACAAACGTGATTAAAATGGATAATAAATTGCATGAAGATTAACGTAGGAACTTTTATTTTAAAAAGCTGAGATAGCTGTATACCACATCAGGTTGGCTTTATCTAAAGCTTGTGGGGAGCGGCTTGGCCAATAACTACCAACAGTTTAACTTCTGGTAAGATTTCTGACTACTTCAGCTTGAATTGTACAGACTTCTAAACCTATTCTGTTACCCCTATCTTTGTACTATAAAAGGCTTACATTTGAAAATCCTGAGTTTAACTGATTATCACCTTCCGAGTTTGTTTCATGCAACTCTTTGTGGGGGTACTGCCCCTCCCTGAACAACTTCTACCCCCCCCCCCCATCCCATCCCTCACACGAACGAATTATAATTATATGCAAAATAAAAACTTCAGAGTATCCCCTCGAAACTTTCAAGTGCCCTTCCCCCCCCCCTCCCCCAAGAGATATGTCTGAAAGTCTGATCGCCGGTAAAAACTGTTGCTTGAAGGTTAAAAGGCTATTCGAGGGTTTAACACCTCTCGCGTTTAGCACTCGTGGTCAGTAACCGGCCACTGTCCTAGCGTAAATACGGTTGCTTGAGGGTTAACCTCCTCCCCCCCCCCCCCAACTCACGTTTAGAGGAGGAGATTAGGCCTCATCACGACAGAACCGGAAATACGTCAGTGCAATCAGCGGGAGCCGCCCCATGCCTATAAATAACCCCCGCCCGCTCGGGGTTAAATTGAAAACGTCTCGGCGAAAGTTAATCAAGCGTCGGACGCGTGTCGTCATTGGTGTGTGTGTGTGGGGGGGGGGGGGGGGGAGATGGGAAGGTCAGCGTGCTGGACACCAGCAAGCCAGTGTCATACTGATCTTAGGTTTTACAGTTACGGCTTGTTTGGTGAACAGAGTTTCCACCAGGCATCCCCGAACAAAATGAAATTTATATAATTTATATAGAAAATATAGAAAATACATACTTTTAACAGTGTCCGCTCCCCCCCCCCGAAGAAAGTCTACCGCCCCCCCCCCCCCCTAAAATTTCAAGTGCCCCCCCCCCCCCCCCCCCGGAGAAGAAAGTCTGGAAGAAACACTGTTGGTGAAGTTAGAAAAAAAAAGTGTGATACTTATCTAAAGTATCAGTGGGTAGGTGGGGGATTTGGGGAAAGGGGGGAGGGGGGGGGGTAGAAAGAAAATAATTGTCAGAAAAATCTAAAAATTGTTTAAGTAAAAAAATGTCAGCTGAGGAAAGAGGTATATTGATCCATTTTAAAATAAGGTATTGTAAAAAGTTTAATACGGATTCATATTTCCGGATAAAGTTCCTGTGACTTTAAGATATTTTACAACTACGAAATGCCATATCTATCTTGTTAAGTGGCATTCTTGTCATCCAACTCGCTGAGCTATGACATGACACGTCTATTATTACAAGTTTAAAGAACAAAAAAACAAACTAGATGATATAAAATTAGCGTCATCGATAAAACGACTCACGTTTTTAACACATTTTTACCTCTTACCCAATAGGGCTGGTAAGTAGGTCACCAACAAGTTATATGGCTCATGCATGTTTTATTGAGCCGAAGAATTGGTTGGTGATCTACTTACCAGCCCTATTTCACTCCATGGTTACTCATGGTAATGAAAATCCAGACCCCCCCCCCCCCTCTATACATCTAAAGTGATGTCACACCTACGCTTGCAAAGGGCCCCACGAAGAGTTGCCTGAAAGAAACTTTGCAGGTGGTAAAGAGTTAAAGCTCAGGATATTTCAATGTAGGCTCTTTGTACAATGCAAGCTGAAGTAGTAACATATGAAACTGAAGGTCCGATTCTGTAATCTATTTATTACCATAAGTGAAAGGTTTCCAGTTGTTACAGAGAGTATGTAGATCTATAATGTTATTGTTAATGTTAAAATAAAGGGAGAGAACGTTTAAAGAATTGTCTGAGTCCCTGAGTCCACCCAGCTCCGATGGGTACCCGACTTACGTTTGGGACAGTAAAAGACGGCTGGACATAGTGTTGACTATACCATCCCTTCATATGCCCATGTCAAGAAACATTAACTCTACTTCACCTGGCAAACGGTAGGAACTTTACTACTTTACTAATAATTTCCATAAAATATCCCGGTGACACGACAAGTTTAAATAATATAGAATGTAATGACAGATTTACATGCAAGAAATACATAACGATGATAAATCACAGCGAAAATATGACAACAATTTGACTTAAATAAATATAAAATGACAAGTTAACCATATCAGGTATATTTTATGACAAAATGTAGCATACGTTGAATGAAGATATAATGACACATTTATATTATTTAAACTAAGAAATGTATTTTGCAGAAACAATGCGAAATTTAATAATACTAAGTTTAATAATGCCAGGTTTACCAACAAAAAATGTGACAAGTTTGCACAATGTTTGAGCTCAGTGACACATATCCAGGGGCGTGGGGCAGGGGGGGGGGGGTATAAGCCCCTAACCGGCAGGGGGGTATAAGCCCCTAACCGACAGGGGGGTATAAGCCCCTAACCGGCAGGGGGGTATAAGCCCCTAACCGGCAGGGGGGGTATAAGCCCCTAACCGGCAGGGGGGTATAAGCCCCTAACCACACCCCATGAAAATTATGCATAATGAAAAATGTCAAGTTTACTCCAAGTGAAATATTTGCGGTACACATCAATAACCACAAAACGACAAGTTTACACTTTAAAAATGTCAAGTTTACTCCAGATGAGGAGTGTAAAAAAGTTCAATAACCAAAGATTTATACGTTTGAAAAAAATTCAAGTTTACTCCAGGTGAAGAGTTTGTGGTACACATCAATAATCCCAAAACGACAAGTTTAGTTTTTAAAAATGTCCAAGTTTATTCCATGTGTGGTTTCTGTGGTACACATCAATAACCACAAAACGACAAGTTTACACTTTAACACATCAATAACCACAAAACGACAAGCTTACATTTTTAAAAAAAATGTCAAGTTTACTCCATGTGTGCCTTTTTGGTACATACTTGAACCCAGCAACATGACCACGCCAAATGTCAAGTTTACTCCATTACTCCATGTGTGCCTTTTGTAGTACATACTTGAGCCCCAGCAAAATGTCAAGTTTACTCCATGTGTGGTTTCTGTGGTACCCATCAATAACCAACAAATGTCAAGTTTACTCTATGTGTGGTTTCTGTGGTACCCATCAATAACCAACAAATGTCAAGTTTACTCTATGTGTGGTTTCTGTGGTACCCATCAATAACCAACAAATGTCAAGTTTACTCTATGTGTGGTTTCTGTGGTAACCATCAATAACCAACAAATGTCAAGTTTACTCTATGTGTGGTTTCTGTGGTACCCATCAATAACCAACAAATGTCAAGTTTACTCTATGTGTGGTTTCTGTGGTACCCATCAATAACCAAAAAATGTCAAGTTTACTCCATGTGTGGTTTCTGTGGTACATACTTAAGCCCCAGCAACATGACCACCAAAATGTCAAGTTTACTCCATTACTCCATGTGTGGTTTCTGTGGTACATACTTTAGCCCCAACAACATGACCACCAAAATGTCAAGTTTACTCCATTACTCCATGTGTGGTTTTTGTGGTACATACTTGAGTCCCAGCAACATGACCACCAAGAAGACGACCATCGTCCCGCCCAGGCCGAGCGCACAGTGCCACAGACTCTGGCCGCCGAACGAGAACGTTCGCAGGGCCTGGGCCCCCGTCTGGACGCAGCGGGGCGTGACGGCCGTGTTGCACTCGAACTCGAGGTCCTCGATCTCGATGAGACAGAGGGCCTGGAAACCCCAGCGGAGGTAGGAGATGTCAGGGATCCACCTGCTCTCTGTAAGGGGGGGGGGGGGGTGTTAGTATTATTTTCACATCATACATATTTTAATAGAAAACTTTTTTTTTTTTGGAAAAAAAAAACTTATTTAAAAAAGAGTACCTATATTTACTTTTCAACTTTTTATTGTGAGTCAACTTATTTTTTCTAGGTCTTTTAACTTTAAATTTTTTTGAGGGGGGGGGGGGGGGGGACGCTGGTAAAAATATCTGAAAGAAACACTGAATAAGAGGCAAAAGTATTTCCGCCTTATGAAGGTGTTAAACGTCAAGATTGGTTAAAATCTCGATTTGGATTTTTTTTTTCACAATTAAAATACTTCCTCTATACTCTGTATACGAGAAAGTAAAAATGTGAAATAGAAAGTAAAGTTGTGAAAAAGAAAGTAAAAATTTGTAAAATAGAAAGTAAAAATTTTAAATAGAAAGTAAAAATTTGTAAAATAGAAAGTAAAAATGTGTAAAATAGAAAGTAAAAAATTGTGAAATAGAAAGTAAAAATGTTTAAAATAGAAAGTAACAATGTGAAATAAAAAGTAAAAAAGAAAGTAATAAACCGGGAGTGATCTCCCCTAAACTTTCTCGAATATTCTTATATAAAACAACAGGGGATGGGAACTCGGGACATAGTTATGATTTTTAATCCATTTTAAATACATAAACTTTTTAAAATAAAATAGAATCTCATAGAAAAAAGTATTGCGCACCAAGCGAACGCCGAATAAAGATGTTCATAATGGTGCGCAATATTATTAGTACTTTATAAATTTAGATGCGTTTTTGAGAAATCGGAAATAGCGTAAATTAGTACTTCCCGTCAACGGAAATTACTCAAAATTTAACAGAAGGTAGAGAATTAGATCTTTTACTTACATGTGAAATTTCATTTATCTATCTGAAATAGTACTCAAGTTATAGGCTTTTGAAAAATTCAAAGTAGAAAAAGTACCACTTCCGGTTGTCGGAAATCGCTCAAAAGTTGATACGGATCTACTATTTTGATATAATACTTATATATGAAATTTCATCAACCTAGCTGTAACGGTACTCAAGTTATCGTGTTTACACACAGACAGACACACAGACACACACACACACACACACACACACAGACATACGGACAAGATTGCAAAATTATGTTTTTCCGTATCAGTGAGGTGTAAAACGTCGAGATTTGTAAAAATCTCGATTTTTTTTTTTGCACGATTACAATACTTTCTCTATACTACGTATATACGAGAAAGTAAAAATGTGAAATAGAAAATAAAACTGTGAAATAGAAAGTATAAGTATGAAATTTGAAACTTGGACCAGCGTTACCTGAGATAATGTTGTTAAGGTTAATGAGAAACCCAGCACTCATTATAAACAGGGAGAAGATGGTCTGGCAGAAGAAACTCGCGATCTGATAGGTCGGCAAGATGGCGGCTGACATCATCGCTAGGCAACGCGATGTAAACACAGACACGCCCACAAAGAGAGCAAACTGAAACAGCAGAGGTAGGGGGTGGAATAATCAGGGTATATATTAATTTACGTTAATCATTTTATGGTTTGATGGTAGCGCTGACGACTGCTAACCCGAAAGTCTCGAGTTCGAATTCCGTGAGTCCACCCAGCTTTGTTGAGTACCTGACTCACGATAGGGAAAATCGGGTGGGCGTAGTGCTGACCACATTATCCGCCTGAATGCCGAATTCATTGAAACAGTTGAACTCTACTTCATCTCACCCATGTGTCTTTGGTTGGAACCTCGAGATCGTAACGTTATTGAGTCTAAGGAAGTATTGCGTTTTCCACTGAATTCCGTGTATCTTGGAAAATTTTTAACTTAAAGAGTTAAGTTTGTGGGAGTTCAAGTGCAAATTATAACAAAATAATTATCATTAAAAAAGTTTTTAAAAACCCACGTTTTTAATGCGCACGCAGTTTGCGATCGCTTAGTAGAGTGATCGCTTGCATTATTGTGATGTATAGCATTTATTTTCTACTTTTAGTTCAATCAGAAAACGTGGGTTTTTAAAAACTTTTTAATGATAATTATTTTCTACTTTTTAGTCTTTGTCTGTTTTTTTGCATTCACATCTTGCTATCGATTTTATCTTCTCGCATTCACTTTTTTTTTGGGTAAACGAAGACAACTCGTAAAAAACACGTGCCTTTTCCAATCGACGTTTCTTCTGTGTTGCCGTTTCTTTAACCATTTTGCCCTCGCGTGCAAACCATTTGACCATCAACATTCTACTTCCTTTGTATACAAACACCGCGTGACCACTACTCAGCCAATCGCGTGCTCGCTCCTTCAGTAAGCGAGAAGAGGGAAAGTACCGAACCTTGTTTTATCAAATTACAATTACTAGGTTATGTCCCTTTTTTTGTACAAATCAATAGGGGTCTAAAATGATAAATACAATTTTTCCATGGATCAATTTAGTAATAATAATAATTGAATATTATATTGTCATCGGAAACAAAGCTTCCCTGAAAATTTCAGCGCGCTAGCTAACTGGGAAGTGCCCGAAATTTCGATCGCAAGATTTGATTGGAAAAACAAACAAACAAATAAACAGACGCGAAAGCAAGTTAAAGAAAACGTGGGAAAAAAAGCAAAGTATATAACCTCAGAATATGTTATTATAAGTATGTTCACCTTGAAACCTTCAAAGTATGTTATTTAAAGTATGTTTATCATGAAACCTTCAGACTATGTTATTTAAAGTATGTTTACCATGAAACAGTTGTAAGGGCCGATGGGCAGGCCGGACATCCCGTAAAGGGGGATAATGTAGCAGATGACGTAGATCAGATGAAAGGGGACATCACTCAGCACCTGGTTATCGAAATAGAATTTACATACAATTATTGGACGGGGGTGGGGGGGGGGGGGGCATGGGGGCTAAATTAAATAAAGCAGACATTATGGTGGAGTAGTCGAATGGTAGAGCATACGACTGCCAACCCGTAAGTCTCGAGTTCGAATCCGGGTTCAAGTATGTAGAACGTGCCTGGGTCCACCCAGCTCTGGGAAGCGTAAATGCGGCTGGGCATAGTGCTGACCACACTATCCCTTTGTTTGCCGAGGTCACGGAAACAGGCTAACTCTACTTCACTTGCCCTATGGACCGTCAAGTTCGAAAAGGAACTTTGGTTGAGTAGACATGTCTTGAAATAAAAAACGTTATAAAAAGTGTAGCACAGACTATGCTGGATTACCCCGTATGTAAATATGTACGCTATAGAAAATACACACAACACGAACCTTAACCACAAACCCAAACAAAATTATAAACAGAAACATATCCCAATACCAATCACTGTTACTTTTTCTATTATTATCCCTACCCATACCACTATAATTATCCCTATTCTCATCACTATGATTATTCGTATCCCTTCTGTTGTTCATTTCCCATATCCCTATCCTTATCCTTATGCCTATAGATGTAAGTCTTCCGTCATTTGCATCAAACTGTAAACAATATGACAAGACCGCAGTGACAGCAAACTGTATGCTGTATGCTGTATAAGTTGTGGCAATCTTACCTTAGCGAAGTAGTATGCTGCAGGGTGGTAAAGTTTGTCTTGAAGTTCAAAGTAAAGAAATTTTCTTTCTTCGTGACCTGGTAAAAAAATTAAATCTACTTTTACCAAATAAATAAATAAATGAAAATAATACAATGCACATAATTCCAAAACCTGACCTTATGAATATTAATCGGGATTTTTCAATAACTGATTGCCTTTTAATTTTACGTGGCTTTTTTGCGTACAGTGTTTTTCTCAGACATTTTTTCTCCAGGGGGAAGGGGGGGGGGCACTGGGTAAAGGGAATTCGAATTCAGTTTATCGCGGAGCTAAGGGTACGCGTAGAGTTAAAGTTAGGTTCGGTGATGTACATACAGTAAAAGGAGATCGATATTACAAACTGAAGATAGATGTATCATGTAGATATATTATGTAGATATATCATGTAGATATATCATGCATATCTATCATGTAAATATAATATGTAGATATATCATGTAGATATATCATGTAGATATATCATGCATATCTATCATGTAAATATATTATGTAGATATATCATGTAGATATATCATGCATATCTAGCATGTAAATATATTATGTAGATATAACATGTAGATCTATGATAAAAGATCCTTCAAGTATATCTATCAGGTAGATGTATAATGTAGATCTGCAATAAAGATCCATCATGTGAATCTATCATGCAGATCTACATGTATGAGAATGAAAATACGGTTTTGAGATCCATACGACTGTTAACTTTCTGTATACAACAACTTTACAAAACATTCGTCCCGCGAAAAGAAACAACCCCCACCGTAATAGGTTATTGTCGTATTTTTAAAAAAACCTGGATCTGAAATGTTTGCGACATTTACAATAATGGATTCGCCAGTTGTCATTGTCTTCCAAATGTCGCCAATCGACGGCCGAGCAGAGGCGTAATTTCTAGACAGAATTTGATGGAAATTATTTTACTTTTTTTTATATTTATAACATCCTAACATAGAGAGCGAGAAATGCCCGTGGTCGATCTGAATAGCTTTCAGAGCTCATGATTTGAGCTAGTTGTAACGGTGATGGAGAAGGGCATGTAACTCGTTGTGCACTTATATTCCAAGGGCGATAACCATCAAGAATTAATATTCTAATTTTAAGGACACATTCGAAATAACCACAATGTGTGGGCTACCATTAAAGTAGCAACTAGTAGCAAGAAAACGTGGGCACCGATAAAAAATATAGTAGATGCGGGTACCCATCAAGGTATAAAGTAGATGTGGGTACCCTTCAAGAAAGTAGATGTGGGTACCCATCAAGGTATAAAGTAGATGTGGGTACCCTTCAAGATATAAAGTAGATGTGGGTACCCTTCAAGAAAGTAGATGTGGGTACCCATCAAGATATAAAGTAGATGTGGGTACCCTTCAAGATATAAAGTAGATGTGGGTACCCTTCAAGATATAAAGTAGATGTGGGTACCCTTCAAGATATAAAGTAGATGTGGGTACCCTTCAAGATATAAAGTAGATGTGGGTACCCTTCAAGATATAAAGTAGATGTGGGTACCCTTCAAGATATAAAGTAGATGTGGGTACCCTTCAAGATATAAAGTAGATGTGGGTACCCTTCAAGATATAAAGTAGATGTGGGTACCCTTCAAGATATAAAGTAGATGTGGGTACCTTTCAAGATATAAAGTAGATGTGGGTACCCTTCAAGATATAAAGTAGATGTGGGTACCTTTCAAGATATAAAGTAGATGTGGGTACCCTTCAAGATATAAAGTAGATGTGGGTACCCTTCAATATATAAAGTAGATGTGATACCTATCAAAGAAGCAACGATTTGTGGGCACATATACAAGAATTGCGTTATGTGAATCTGCCCTTTGAATAACGTCATTCACTTCATTTTGTACCCTATTTATTTTACAATGTGTAGAGAATAATGCCCCGTGTCTTTTACCCTCTGAACTAAATTGTGCCCTCTGACCATATATGGATACATGAGGGGTCATCCATAAATGACGTCAAGCTTTTTGTGGCGTTGTTTACCCCCTCCCCTCCGTCACACATCGTCACAACTGTCAACACAGAGTATTTTAATCAATTCCTATTACAATTTATTAAAACAGTTTTCTAAAACGCGAAATAACGCCTAAAATTCGTTTTCTAACATTGCTTTTTTATAATGCTGAAGTTTGACGTCACACCATCTGAACTCCGCCACCCCCCCCCCCCCCCTCGCCTTCCCATCATCACACATCGTCACACAATTACGGACCCCCTCCCCCCTACTAGTGTGACGTCATTTATGTACAACCCCTGACCCCGGAAATATACTCACACGCCCCAATCAGACCCAGGATGACCATATATGGGTACATGACGCTCATCATGAACATGACCCCGGAAATATACTCACAGAATGACCATATATGGGTACATGACATAAACATGTCCCCTGTAATATACTCACATGCCCCAATCAGCCCCAGGATGACCATATATGGGCACATGACATAAACATGACCCCTGACCTCTATACTCACACGCCCCAATCAGCCCCAGTATGACCATATACGGGTACATGACGCTCATCATGAACATGACACCGAACCAGTCCCGGATCGAAACCTGGTTGAGCTTGAGGTCGATGTAGACCATCCCCAGCAGTAGGGACATCAGCAGCGCCTGCACCACGTGCGTCAGGAGGGTGGGGTAGTCGTCGACCGTCACCCGCATGCAGCGTCTGAGAGGGGAGATAGAGGAGTCATTGACGTTATAAGTCTACGGTGGGTGGGGGGAGATAGGAGTCATTGACGATATAAGTCTACGGTGGGGGGGGGGAGATAGGAGTCATTGACGTTATAAGTCTACGGTGGGGGGGAGATAGGAGTCATTGACGTTATAAGTCTACGGTGGGGGGGAGATAGGAGTCATTGACGTTATAAGTCTACGGTGGGGGGGAGATAGGAGTCATTGACGTTATAAGTCTACGGTGGGGGGGGGGGGGGAGATAGGAGTCATTGACGCATTATAGGTCTATGGGGGGCATTACAGGTCTTCGAGGAGGGGGGCATTGATGCATCATAGGTCAACTGAGGGGGGTGAGATATTGGTGTCATTGACGCATTACGGGTGTATGGAGAGTGGAGGTTGGGGAGACATTAGTTTCATTGAGGCATCATAGGTCTAAGGGTGGTGGGAGAGGGAGAGAAATGGATGTCATTGACCCATTGTATGTCTACAGAGGGAGAGGGTATAAAGGTGATCAACAGAGAGTGGGGTAGATGCTGCATGCGCCCATCGGAAAGGAGTGAGATAATTGTGGTCATAGGCTTATCATAAGTCTCTAGGGGTGGGGGGGGGGGGGTTGAATTGACAAACAGACTGACTATCATACTAACCATGGAATTGACCAACCAACTGAACATCATACCAACCATGGAACTTACCAACCAACTGACTAACCAACTGACCAACCAACTGACCAACCAATTCACCAACCAAATGACAAACCAACTGACCAACCAACCAAGCAACTGACCAACCAACTGACCAACTAACCAACAAACTGACCAACCAACCAACCAACTGACCAACCAACTGACCAACTCACCAGCCAACTGACCAACCATGGAACTGACCAACTAAATGACCAACCAACTGACCAGCCAACCAACCAACCAACCAACCAACCAACCAACCGACCGACCAACCAACCAACCAACCAACCGACCAACCAACTGACCAACTGACCAACCAGCCAACCAACCAACCAACCAACCAACCAACCAACCAACCAACCAACCAACCAACCAACCAACCAACAAACCAACCAACCAACCAACCAACCAACCAACCAACCAACGGACCAACCGACCAACCAACCGACCAACCAACCAACTCACCAACCAACCAACCAACTCACCAACCAACCAACCAACCAACCAACCAACCGACCAACCAACCGACCAACCAACCAACCAATCAGTGGCATAGCCAGGATCGTCTCAAGGGGGAGGGGTTTTAATTTTTACCCGGGGACAAACTTTCGATTTGCACCCCCACCCCTCAAACTTTCGATTTGCACCCCCCCCCTCAAACAATTCGGTTTGCACCCCCCCCCCTAAAACTTTCGATTTGCACCCCCCCCTTATACTTTTTATATATACCGAAGGGTCTATGGGGTTATGACCCCCCTAACCCCCCCCCCCTGCCTACGCCACTGCAACCAACCAACCAACACGTACTTAAAGAGCACCATGAACTGTTGTCCCATGCCTGGACTAGACCGCTGCCTCTCGTAAGCGTCAATCAGGTTCTGTAGCGTGTCGTCAGCCGTTACCCTCTTGTTGTAGGAGGCGATCTTCAACGTCTCGGGCATATGCTGTATCAATTTTAAGACAATCAATAAATTAATTAGTTAATGAGGTCGTCGTGGTCGGGTCCCGAGTTCGAACCCTCCAGTAGATGAGGCAATCGATTCCTAGTTAATGGAGGTCGGCGTGGTCGGGTCGGTTAACTCATATTTGCTGAACCGAAATGTCCCGAGTTCGAACCCCCAAGTAGATGAGGCAATCAATTCCTAGTTAATGGAGGTCGGCGTGGTCGGGTCGGTTATGCTCAAGATGCTGAAACGGAAAGTCCCGAGTTCGAATCCCATGGTAGATGAGGCAATCAATTCGTAATTTAATGGAGGTCGGCGTGGTCGGGTCGGTTAGCTCACGGTTGCTGAACCGAAATGTCCCGAGTTCGAACCCTCGGGTTGCTGGGAACAGCAACTCATCAAAGAGAGACAACCCATAAAAATAAAAACTAATAAGAAAAGCAGGCTGAAATCGTAGTCAAAGGCCTATATATGACGCAAAACAAGTTGACACGTAAGACCTAATTGTGTTGGAGGGAATGCCTTCCAACACTAGCCTTAAGAACAAAGAAGTATATATAGAAGAAAAACTAATTTGCACAGACCAAAATTGCAGAAAATCCACTGTAAAAAAAAGTTTTGTTTTGAAGTTCACAGCTTTATAAAATTACTAGCCGTCCCGGCCAGGCCCTGCTCTGGCTTCTGTGAAAAACCTTTCTGTTAAAGACCATTACCTGTGTGTTTAGTAATCATCATAAACCCGGCATTGCCCACCCAAACCACAACCAACCAAAACAACAAAACGCACACATAACGCTAACACAATTACAAATACAAACGAAAACAAAAACCTAACAACAAACCCAACACCAATCACAAACACCTATACAAACACAAAGAAAAAAACAAACAAAAAAGCAAACGAAAACAAAAACCTGACAACAAACTCAACCACAACCACAAACATCAATACGAACACAAAGAAAAAAAACAAACGAAAAAGCAAACGAAAACAAACCAAATTCAAACGCAAAACCAACCACAAACGCAAACCCAAAGAAAAAAACACAAACGAAAAAGCAAACGAAACCAAATCCAAACGCAAAACCAACCACAAACACAAATACAAACACAAACCCAAAGAAAAAAACACAAACGAAAACGAAAAAAGAAAGAACAAAAACGAACCAAATCAAAATGCAACCACTAACGCAAACCCAACCTAAACACAAAGAAAACACTAACGCGAACATAAACGCAAAGTGCTCACAGTCTAGCCCGGGGCAGAATCGCCTGTTTCAGCTTAATAATCGACTATAGTACCCCAACTTATTCATAGTCTTTTGCACTCACTTAAACGAACGTAGGTGCCAAACCAAACCAAATGAACAATTATAATACTCCAAGCTTATCCGTAAAATACCTACAACATTTGCACTTGATCAATCCCCGCTAATTATGTAATTATTTTTTTCCCAACACCAAAACAAAGTAATAAAAAGTAAATTCTGTTCCACTAATGCAATGTTTTATAATGGGAAGTAATTGTGTTTTCCTAATTTATCAAAGGGAAGTAAGTGCCAAATGACTAAATATAAATAATTTTCAGACATAATTAGAATTTTTGTTATTTTTTTAAAATTGTCTTTAATGAACATGCCGACAATTATTACTATCAGTTTGAAAAATGAAAATTATTTCCCAACATTTTCAATAGTAATTTTTTAACTCATAAATTTAGACTGTGAGCACGATAATAGTCTAACACTTAAATCCATAGAAGTATGTCAACGACAAACAAACTTATTTTTACATACAGAATTGAGCTTTATATATTAGATGGCGTTTGTGCCTTAGATATGGCACAGAAATATCTGTGATAATGGAACCAAAGGAAGACCACTCACGACAAAATGACCCCTTTCAACGATGTACACCCCCCCCCCCTCCCACCCATTACAAAAGCTGAAAGTAAAGTACCTTTTCGAACCTTACTGACCATGGGGCAGGTGTTGTAGAGTTAACCTGTTTCAGTGGCTTCGGCATATGAAGAGATAGTGCGGTCAGCACTAATATGTGCGGTCAGCACTATGCCCAGCCGTCTTTACTTTCCCTAACGTGAGTCCATTAGAGCTGGGTGGACTTGAAACCGAATTCGAGCTCTAGACTTTTGTAGTTGTATGCCCTACCATTCAGCAAAGCCCTCCCATATTACTATCGACAAACGTCTCACCGAAAATCTCTACGTAAAACAGGAAAAAGGCAGGCCAAGAAAACATGTTGATGCGACCTTACAACAACATTTGTCACAAAGCTTGAGGTCGTGTTTCAAGTGTCAGTTAGAAGAATGGAACTACTTTTTTTTACAAGTAGAGAAAATATAACATGCAGTATTTAAAACATTATGGCTCACAATGTTTGAATAGCGCTTATTGAGAATTAGATGGAATTTTCCACCCTCACCCCTATCTCCCCTCCGACCCCCCCCCCCTCCCCCACCCGTCCGTCCGTCCGTCTTACCTTAATCTGATCCGGACCGATAATCTCCTGTCGGCTGCTGCCTTCAACCTCCCCAGCCCCCTCTCTGCTTTGGAAAGCCTCCCACAGTTGCTCAACTGTCCTTGACCCCTGCTCCTCCTGCTCCCTCGACGTGCTGTCCACCGTGGCCAGGTCAACTGAAGGGCAAACCGGGTCAGAGGTCATGTGAGGTACAAAGGTCAAAAGCCGAATAAAAACACATCAGGTCAAAAGTCATGTGACGATTATAGTTCAATGCCAGGCCGGATGAAAACAGATCACGTTAGAGGTCATGCGACGTTGAGAAATGAAATAAGCCAGGTCAAAGGTCAGTGATGATTAAAGGTCATGGCCGAATTAACACAGGCCGGGTCAGAGGTCATGTAACGATTCAAGGTGATAACGATTCAAGGTGAATGTCAACTGAAAGCAAGCCAGATCCAAGGTCAAAGTTCAGGCGATGATAGCACAGCTAGCTCAGAAGCACCACAACACAGACGTATTGTTTTCTACGTTAAAGGTAAACTCCGCCATTGTTGATTCCAAGCCCGGTCTAGAAAAGGAAGAAGAATAGGGCAAATGGCTATCAACCCGCTCCCCCTACAATACCCAACCTAACACGTTAAGTCCGCAGACGGAACCCACGGGGGCTAAAGGAAAAACAAAGATGGGCCCAGACATATCTAAAGACGGAGAATGTAGATATCTAAAAGATGGTCTTAAATTTTAAAAGTTAGGCGTGTGGCTATTGAAGGGGTAAGGTTGTTAGCGTTACGGTGAACAAGTCGGAATAAAGAAAGGCACCAGACATCTAAAATGCAGAGTTTCTTTCTGGCACCCCTACGAGGGGAAGGGACTGACCACCCCCTGAAAACGTCCACCCCTGCCATCCCCCTCCCGCAGACGTAATGTATATAGAAAATATAAAATTTAACCAGAGTCCGCTCTCTCCCACTGACATTTTATGTGTGTCTCCCCCCCCCCCCCCCGAAAGCTTCTAGAGTCGTCGACCGAGGTCTCCCCCCCCCCCTCAACCCCACCGTATAAAAATGTCTGAATAAAACACTGATCTGAAAGCTATTTAGAGAAACCGGTGAAGTGAACTTGCCGAGCGATGTAATTACTTTTAGCAGAAAAAAACGTCAATTAAGGTGGTGGGGGGGGGGGGGGGGTGGCGGAAGGCGAGGGTAGAATAGCTCTAGTGTGCTACGAATCGTAAATCTGTTTCGTCGATGTTAAACCACTATGTATACATAAAAAGGGTTAGCTTTATTTAGGCCCGCAATTACAACAAACAACTATTTGACGTGAAACATGAGAACCGCGAGTTAGTGTACGAAGAAATTTAATCCTCCGGATTGAACTTGGAAAGTACAGCTGCATCAAAACAGTATATTTTTGTTTCCCAAAGAATATATCACTTTCTTACTGGGTGGGCGGGAGGGTGGTGGGGGGACGACTTATTAATTTGTTCCCACCTATCACGTTTTGGCTGAGAGGAGACATCGAATTTTAAAATTTCCGAACCTAATTGAAAATATATAACTTTACCAGTGTCGTTGTCGTCCCACCCCAAAATTGAAGCCCCTACCCCCACCCGCGTTGAAAAATGTTTGAAAGAAACACTGTTTCTAGGGTCTCTGCTTACGCACGAAAAGAGCTCACGAAATAAACCCAACACAAAAACACCAACAGCTAGGAATGGACCACTTCCATTACAGTTCTTTACGTTTGTTAAAGACTGGTACCTTTAATGTCTTGCCACAAGCCACAGTGAACTGATGAACCACCACTGAACTACACTGGCCCACCACTGACTTTAAACGACCCACCACCACCACCACCACCACTACCACGACCATAACCACTACTACCACCACCACCACCTCCCACCACCAACACTATTACCACCCACCACCATCACCACTACCACACTGCCAACCACCAATACCACCAAACACAACTACAACCACCTACCACCACCACCACCACCACCCATTACTACCACCCACTTCTAATACCACTGCCACCACCACCTACCACCACCACCACCAACCACGACTACCACCCAAAATTACCACTCACTTCTACTACCATCACCACTACCACTACCTACTACTACCACCACCACCATCATCACCACTACCTCTACCACCCATCACCACCATCACCACTACCTCTACCACCCATCACCACCATCACCACTACCTCTACCACCCATCACCACCATCACCACTACCTCTACCACCCATCACCACCATCACCACTACCTCTACCACCCATCACCACGACACACTACTACATCCATCACCACAACCACAACCACTATCACCACCACCATCATCAACCACCACCACCCACACAGCCGCAGAACTCACTGTAAAAATCGCAGGGGTTGGTCAGGTCAGGACAGGGGAACCCCAAGCCGGTGAAGTAGCTGACCATGTCCCGGGCGCCACCGTTGTAGACCACGTGACCTTTGGACAGTATCATCACGTCGTCAACGGTGTTGAAGATGTCGAACCTGCAAACAACAGAGATGACGTCATGAACCGGCAACAGACTGAAGATAACGTGACTGATTTAGAGAGAAATAAGTCGTCTTTTATTCCCCACTCCCCCCTCCTCCTATAGTAAAGAGATATATCAATGAACTTCGGAATCCTACAAAGAGGTTATAGAAGTAGAAGAGAGAAATATAGAAGTTGGGGTCTTCTTCAGTTAGACCAGTGGTTCTTAACCTGGGTTCGATCGAACCCCAGGGGTTCGGTGAGTCAGTCTCAGGGGTTCGTCTGAGGTCAAGACACACACACGACTTATATAATTCACGATCTGATTTTGTCAGTGCGGACGATAGAAGTATAAGAAGGGTGGGGTTCGGTACCTTCTAAAAAGATTAAGAACAACGGAGTTGGGCTTTTGTGGGGTGAGGGAACCAACCCGGATACACTAACTGACCCATCAGTAGGAACATGACATTGTCCAATGAATCCTTCTGAAGGGAACTGACCTGAGCTAAGGGAACCGACCTGAGCTAAGAGAACTAACCTAAATTAAGGGAACCGACCTGAGCTAAGAGAACTAACCTAAATTAAGGGAACCCATCTGAGCTAAGGGAACTAACCTAAATTAAGGGAACTGACCTGAGCTAAGGGAACTGATCTAAACAAAGGGAACTGACCTGAGCTAAGGGAACTTATCTAAACAAAGGGGACTGACCTGACCTAAGGGGACTGACCTGACCTAAGGGAACTGACCTGACCTACGGGAACTGACCTGACCTAAGGGAACTGACCTGGGCTGGTGGATGGACATGACCACCGTCCTCTGCTTGCTGGCTAGACGTGACAAGGTTTTGACCAAACTGTTGGCCGTGAAGGAGTCCAGGCCGGAAGTTGGCTCGTCCAGGAACAAAATACCTGGCCAGGTGTACACACACGTTAACAAACAAACAAACACACAAACAGCTGCATACTATGTTCATAAAATAAAATATTTCAGGAGAAATATT